CTGTTATAAACTTTCTTGCTGTTTGTTTACTTCCCTTTTGTTTCAATTTGAAGAAATTCCTTCAGCACATCTTATAAGACAGGTCTAATAGTAACACATTCCCTCAGGGTTTTTGGTTTTTGTTTTTTTTTTAAGTTTATTTATTTTGAGAGAAAGAGAGCAGAGAGAGAACAAGAGCCAAGAAGGAACAGAAAGAGGGAGAGAGAGAGAGTCCAAAGCAGGCTCCACACTGTTGCAGAGCCTGACGTGGGGCTTGAACCCAAGAACCGTGAGATCATGACCTGAGCCGAAACCAAGAGTCTGACACTTAACCGGCTGAACCATCCAGGCGCCCTCACATTCCCCCCTGCCCACATTCGGTTTTGTCTAAAGACTTTATTTCTCTCTCATTCTTTTTTTTTTTTTTCAGGTTTTACTTGTTTTTATTTTATTTATTTGTTTATAGTTTTTTTAATTTTTTTATATATATTTTTAAATTTTATTTATTTCTAGGAGAGAGAGAGAGACAGCGTGAGCAGGGGAGGGTCAGAGAGAGAGGGAATGACAGACTCTGAAACAGGCTCCAGGCTCTGAGCTGTCAGCACAGAGCCCGACGCGGGGCTCAAACCCATGAACCGTGAGATCATGACCTGAGCAAAAGTCGGATGCTTAACTGACTAAGCCACCCAGGCGCCTCATTGTTTATAGTTTTTTTAAATGCCAGTATACTTAATGTGTTTTAATCATACAGGTTTCAAGCGTACAATATAGTGATTCACCAATTCTGTACATTACTCAGTGTTCATCATGGTAAATGTACTCTTAATCTCCTTTACGAGTTCACCCTGCCCTCCGGCAACCACCCACTTGTTCTCTATAGTTAAGGGTCCTTTTTTGTTTGTCGCTTTTCCTTTCATTTGTTTTGTTTCCTAAATTCCACACGTGAATGAAATCATATGCTATGAAAAGACAGTTTTGCCAAATAAAGTCTTCTTGGTTGACGGGTTTTTTTCTATCCATAGTTTGAATACAACATCCCACCCACTCCCGGCCTGTGGGGTTGCTGAGAAATCTGTCAGTAGTCTTCTGGGAGCTCCCTTGTATGTGAAAAACTGCTTTTTTCTTGCTGCTTTCAAGATTCTCTCTTTATCTAACTTTTCATAATTTAGAGCTACTGGGCTTGGCATCGACCCCTTTGGGTTCTACCTATTTGGAAACTTTGGGGCTTCATGAATCAAGATGTCCATTTCCCTCCCTAGATTTGGGGGGTTCTCAGCCATTATTTCTTTAAGTAAGCTTTCCACCCCTTTCTGTCTCTCTTTTTCTTCTAGGATATCCATAATGCATACATTATCTCTTTGTGTCCCATGCAGTATGTGATTTTGCCCCTTACATCCCATATGCTTTTTGAACTATTGCTCAACTTTTTTTCTTTCTCTTCTGCTAGCTGGATAATTTCAGAAGACCTCTCCTGAAGTTCACTTTTTTTTTCTTCTGCATTATCAGGTCTACTGTTGAAGTTCTCTATTGAATTATTCAGGTCAGTCACTGGATTCTTCAGTTCCAGGATTTCTAGTTGGTTGTTGTTTTTTTTTTATCTTCTCTGTTTCTTTATTACACTTCTCATTTTGTCCATGTACTGTTTTCCTGATTTCATCTAGTTGTCTGTGCTTTCTTATATTTCTTGAACTTCTTTAAGATAATTACAGTAAAACCTTGATTTCTGAGCATAATTCATTCTGGAAACATGCTTATAACTCAAAGCACTTGTATATCAAAATGAATTTCCCCCTGAGAAATAATGGAAACTCAGACAACTTGTTCCACAACCTCAAAATATTCATATAAAAATGATTACAATATTGTAACGTAATACAAAATGATAAAGAAAATACAAAATATAAAGAAAAATAAACAAATTAACCTGCACTTACCTTTAAAAACCTTCGTGTCTGGTGTGGGGGGAGACAAAAGAGAGGATGGTTATTTTGTAGGATGACTTTCACTATCGCTAAGAGAATCACTGCTATCTATTGGCTCAGTGGAATCTTTTTCTTTCTGTTCAACTTTACCAAGGAATTTATCCAATGACACTTGTTTTTGTCTTCTTTTGAGGAGTTTACAGAAATGTGACATTACATTGTCATTAAACATCACTCTCACTGCTACCGCCTTATTTGGGTGGTGCTTTTCTACAAAATATTTCACTGTTTCCCACATTTTACTTGTCTCCCTAATCTCCTATGACGTGAAGGGTTCCTCTGCCTCTTTCTATTTCTCCTCTGCAGATGAAATTCAGAGGTAGACTTCTTATAAAATGTTGCAATTTCGGACACTTGCTTACCTCAGTCATACTTCTCGATGATTTCCTCCTTAACTTCCTCCATAATCATATCCTTCTTACTGCCTTTCTTTTCAACCTTTTTCTGCATGGGGGCCATTGTATACACTCACACGGATGTTGACTACAATACAGTACTAACAAACTCTTGTCATATAATGTAACTGGCAATAAGGCAGCAGAGGAAAGGGTCTATATCGGCAGGCAGCCTGACTTAGAATGAAACAAAGCATTCCTAAGCTTACTCTCTTATGGAAAAGAAAAGGACTGTCTATAGGTGCTTTGAAGTGACAAAAAAAAATACACTAGAGCCAGTTCTTGACACCTTGTAACATTCTGAAAAATCACTGATTTTTGCCAAACACTGTGGCCCGAAACCAAGCATCCGAGCATGGTAGATAATCACACACAATTCCACAGTGAGAGAGAAAGAGAGAAGAACATTCAGTTCAGTTGTTATCATGTGACATTTGGCACCATGTACTGCTCATATTGCAAGACATCACTCATTTACCAAGTTAACATTTATTAGAAATGCTTCCTAGCCATGTGGAACATTCACAGAACAAGTTATTCACAACCTAAGGTTTTACTGTATTTTGAATTCTCAAGAAGTTGATGGAAAATTTTTTAAAATGGGGCACCTGGGTGACTCAGTCAATTAAGTGTATGACTTTGGCTCAGATCATGATCTCATGGTCCGTGGGTTCTAGCCCCACTTCTGGCTCTGTGCTGACAGCTCAGAGCCTGGAGCCTACTTTAGATTCTGTCTCTCACTCTCTCTCTCTGACACTCTCCCACTCATGCTCTGTCTCACTCTCTCAAGAATAAATAACATAAAAATGTAAAAAAAAAATTTTTTTTTTAAATTTAAAAAGGGAACTTCTGGGAGGTTCAGTCGGTTGAACATCCAACTTGATTTCAGGTTCAGGTCATGATCCCAGGGTTGTGGGATAGAGCCCCATGTCAGGCTCCATGCTGAACATGAAGGCTGCTTAAGATTCTCTCTCTCTCTCTCTCTCTCTCTCTCACACACACACACACACACACACACACACCACACACAATAAAAAAAGTAAAAAATAAAATAATAGTAATTTAAAAAATAAGTTGATGAATCTCCATTTCTTTAGGGGCAGCTCCTGGGGCTTGATTAGTTTCCTTTGGTGGTGTCTCATTTGCCTGAGTCTTCATGATCTTACACCCTTATATTTAAAGGATCAGACACGTCCTGACTCTAGAGCTGGCTTTGTCAGGTGAAGACCTCCTTCTGAGTCCCCAGACTGATAGAACCGTCACTAGGATCACGTTTGAGTGAGGCTGGAGCTGGGTCGTGTGGCTGCTATAGGTGCTTTGAAGTGACAAAAAAGTGAAGGGACAAAAATCCACAGTCAGACCATGTTAATGGGCCTTTTTACTGGCAGTATGGGTTGTTGTGGCTGTGCCAGGCCCCTGGACTAGCAACACTGTCCTGAAGCCTAGTGAGCAAGGTCACAGGACTGCTGTAAGTTCTGTGCTAGGGTCTGAGAACAGTGAGTCTATTACCAAGGTCACCAATGAGCAGGGCACTTCCTGGGTCCCTTGGTGGATGAGGCTTGTGGTAGATCATAGAAAAGTGGAGGCTAGAACTGGGTCTGCGGGGGGCAGGCTCCTTTCAGGTCCGTAGCCAAGACCATGATCAACAGGCCTGCTACTAGAGGGTATGCCTGCCTTCAAGGCTGCCTTTTTCCATCTTGGCCTCTGCTGAGCTTTTGAAACCTCTGACCTTAATCCCAAGGTTCCCACAAAGGCATTTTGTCTGTGAATGACTGATAAACCCTTGCTTCTATGTGCGGATAAGCCTGCGGATAATCGTGCTCCTCCTTTTTCCCTTTTAATGTAGGTGTGTATAGCTATCCATTTCCACTGAGCGCTGTCTTTACTGCATCCCGTAAGTTTTGGTACGTGGGATTTTTTATTTAATTCATCTTTGAGTCTTTTCGAATTTCCTTTGTGATTTCTTCTTTGACCCATTGGGTTTTTTTTTGTAAGCATGCTGTTTAATTTCCATGAAGTTGTAAGTTTCCAGCTTTGCTTCTGCTATTGATTTCTAGTTTCACTCGGTTGTAATCAGAGAAAATGCTTTGTATAATTTTGGTCTTTTGAACTCCATTGATTCCTGGGTTTGAGGCTTAAATGCAGTTTAGCCTGAATAATGTTCCACATACACTCGGAAAGCATGTGTATTCTGCTGTTGTCGGGTAGAGAGTTCTGCACGTGTCTGTCAGCCCTGCTAGTTTATGCTGAAGACCTCTATCTCCTGACTGTGTGCTAACTCTGTCTTCAGACAAGATCCCTCTGTCTTGGAGTACGTTTCCCTCCCTGCCCACAGGTTACTCCTTCTCATCTTTCTAAATGAAAAGTATTATCGTACCTCCTTATGAATACTGTTCTGAAATGCCCCCAGGTCTTATGGAGATATCATTTCTCTGTCCTGCACAGAGATATCTGTTGCAACAAGATGGCATTTATCACACGCTATAATTCTCCGCTTCCATCTCTAGCTCCATGGGAACCAGGGTAACCCACAACAGTATAGATTGCATATTGGAACTCAGTAAAGACTTCTTTATCAAAGGGTTAATCATAGGCTGATGAAAACACCATAGAATAAGGGCAGCAGTGAGCTGGAGACACTCACCTGTCTGAGAGATGGCCGTTTATGAAGCCTCCCACCAACATTCCAGCCATGAATAGGAATTGAGCAACTGATCTCTGCGACTGATAACTACATACTAGGTCCCACTGAAAGAGAAGGAAACCAGCACAGGGGAGTTTCATAGCAGTTTACAATCCCTAGGTGTTCGTTTCCTACAAAATAACCATCAGTGGACATGCTCTCCAGCCTCCATCTCCTAAATGTAGGATTACCTATATCATCGAAGTCTCAATTTAAACATGACTTTCTCTAGAAATCTTCAACTAAATCTCTTGGTTGTATTAGGGTCGATCTTTATATTCACTTAGCATTCCATACCTCAGGGATTCTCAATCTTGGCCACACACTGAAAACATTGAGGGGATTTTCTAGAATACTGATGCCTGCATTTTTCATCTAGAGTGAAATACACTGATTTGCTTCTCTGAGAAGTATCCAGGGCATGGAGATTATTTTTTAATTGATACAGGGTTTTCCAATTTGCAACTAGGCTGAGAACAAGTGACCAGAAAATAACACATTATATCAAGTACCTGTTTGTCTAATCATCACCATTCATCTTCTATTTAAAGACCTCTGATAGTGGAATTCATGTCTAGTTGGTTGATTTCACTGGCCTCAAATTCAATGTAAGTGCTTGGCAATTAAGAAAATAAGCAATCATGGGGCACCTGGGTGGCTCAGTCGGTTAAGTACCCGACTTTGGCTCAGGTCATCATCTCACAGTTCGTGGATTCGAACCCCGTGTCGGACTCTGTGCTGACAGCTCAGAGCCTGGAGCCTGCTTCGGATTCTGTGTCTCCTCTCTCTCTCCCCCTCCCTCCTCTCTCAAAAATAAATAAACATTAATTTTTTTAAAAAAAAGAAGATATGCAATCACTATTTGCTAAAAGCATGAAAGAGAGCTGACTATAGTATATCTACCTAGTAACTGAAAACTTGAACCTCTTCAAACTTGAACTTGAACTTCTGTCATTCTAAATACCCAGACCTAGTATTCACAGGAAGTAAAAGGGGCCTCTTACCTCAGACACAATGGTGGAGGGGAAGGAGCTCTGGTCATAAACCCACCCATTCAGACAGGCCTCTGTGTCTGGCTCAGTCATGTTGGTGAAGGTTCCATTCAGATGAAGAAGTTGCCACTGGGGATGGATAAAGCGCTGACATTTCTGTGGCCTCAGTTCTGAGTCCAATGGGATGGAGATTCTGAGGAGGGCATCGGGGCTAAGGATCCCAGTATCATTATCAGAGACTGTGTCATTGTCAAGGATGTTCACCCAGCACCGATGAGCAGGAATGGCTGCAGTGAAGTTCTCCAAAAGTAAATGACTTAATACCATCAGTATATATGGAACAATTAAAACTAACTGAAGGATGTGGAATCTCCCCAGGCCACCAACTTGATCCAGGAGCTCCTGAAAGGCCATTGAATGTGAAGAGGTGATCCTCAAGAGGAGACACAATGCCTTTATGGAGATAAATTCAAAAGGAGAAACGGGTTTCTTGTCATTAATTCACACTAAGTCAGTGTGACCTCACACCAGCTTCTTATCACTAGACCTCACTCACATCTCTCCTGCAACAGAGCAGTGGAAACAGAAACCCCAGACCTCTTGGAATCAGGAAGTGTTAATTTTTTAGTAGAGTTGTAGAGAAAATAATTTACCAGAGACACTTCTGTTGACAAAGAAATCTGTTAAAAGTTTTAATCTGTGAACATGTTTCCCCTTAGTGATCTTCTGAAATTAGCATTGGACTTTGTCATGTATGTAACTCTCCAAATAAACTAAAATAAGCCTACCATGCAGTCCTTAACCGTTTCCAGAAAATGAAATTTGAGCAATAAAAAGAGAATGGTTGTGTGATTTTTCTGTGGAAAGAAAAATCAAATATTTTTCTTGTTTATGACTGAATTTAGATTAAGATAATTAATAAATATGGTCCTTTGTTGTTAATCAAAACAAAGTGGAATGTGGTGCAATTACTACCTTTTGGTAACTGATATTACACTTCAGTTTCAGTCACACCAGGAATTTTAGATTCCTTGCAAGGTAGACACAGAAGGAAGGCAGTGGTAAGTTCGTGTAAAGGCTTATTATCTCAGATTTATTTTTTTTTTCATTTACATAGTACATTTGAGGATCTTTTCTGGGATAGTGTTTAGAATCCTGATTAATTGGTGGTTTCATCATTATGAATGAAGCTTCATTATCTCTGATACTGTTTCTTGACTTTAAGCATGTGTTTGCTCATATTTAAATAGCCATTTCAAGTTTCTTATACTTACAGTTTGCATATAAAATTCTAATCCCTTAGGTATTTTTTATTTTTATTTTTTTCATTTATTTATTTATTTATTTTAATGCTTATTTATTTTTGAGAGAGACAGACAGAGCATGAGCAGGGGAGGGAGGGGGCAGAGAGGGAGGGAGACATGGAATCCAAAGCAGGCTCCAGGCCCTGAGTTGTCAGCACAGGGCCCAGCGTGGGGCTTGAACCCAGGAACCACAAGATCATAACCTGAGCCAAAGTTGGATGTTTAATAATGACTAAGCCATCCAAGCATCCCTAGATATTTTTTAATTGAAATGTTTATTGAGAGGCACCTGTGTAGCTCAGTGAGTTGAATGTCCAACTCTTGATCTCAGTTCAGGTCTTTATTTCAGGGTTGTGAGTTCAAGCCCCATGTTGGGCTTCATGCTGGGGTGAAGCCTATAGAAAGAAAGAAAGAAAGAAAGAAAGAAAGAAAGAAAGAAAGAAAGAAAGAAAGAAAGAAAGAAAGAAAGAAAGAAAGAAAGAAAGAAAGAAAAGAAAGAAAGAGAGGAAGGAAGGAAAGAAGGAAGGAAGGAAGGAAGGAAGGAAGGAAGGAAGGAAGGAAGGAAGGAAGGAAGGAAGGAGGAAGGAAGGAAGGAAGGAGGAAGGAAGGAAGGAAGAGAAAGAGAGAGAAAAAGAGAGAGAAAGAAAGAAAAAGAAAGATTTATTGAGATTATTGTAGAATCACATGCAATTGTAAGAAATAATGAGAACCTGCAGTTCCCCTAGCTTCCCCCAAAAGTAATATTTTGCAAAACTATAGTATAATATCACAACTAGGATATTGATACTGATAAAATCCACTGATCTTGTTCAGATTTCTTCAGTTTTACCTGTATGTGCGTGTGTGTGTATGTGTGTGTGTGTGTATGTGTGTGTGTGTGTGTGTATGTGTTTACTACTGTATGGTTTTTATTACATGTGCAACGTAGTGTTCCCACCACCGCATTCAAAATGACAGAGTTCTGTCTCCACTGGTGTCCCTCATGTACTGTTGTTATAAGTAATACCTCCTTCCTGCTTCTGTCATCCTCTTTTCTACCTTTGGCAACTATTAAACTATCTTCCATTTTTTAAGCTTCTGCTAATTAAAAATTGTTGTATACAAAGAATAATATGAAAAAGAGACATCATCAAAATGGTAACATAAGCTGCTCCCAACTTCAGTCCCCCTCAAAAGAAGATCAACTGGCAACTGTCCATAGAAAGATACCATTGTGGAAATTCCAGAACCCAGAAGTGAGGCTGAAGCAACAGTTGAACCACATGATCACATGAGAAGAGCAAGAAGAGTAGCTACACTCTGACCAATATGGTTACAATGAAAAACTCCACCCTGAGCCTACAGTTTCTCCAGTGAGAAAAAGAAAACTCGAGGTAGACATCACTTCCCTCAGCATTGGGAGTTGCTTCCCAGAAGGCCCAGTCAGATATCACCTCACGGGGATTACTGGGGAAAACCACAGGGCTCCACTACTGGGAATCAGCTAGAGATGAAGAAGGGACAAAGCTTGCATTAACCAGTGCTTAGATCTTGACAGACCATATTCCTGCTTGCCGGGGCACTGAGAAGACAACCCAGCCAGTGCTTCTGCCCATCTGCAGAGCTCAGCCAGTCGCCTCATCTTGACAGGGACCTCAATTGGTAGCTCTGCCTGATTTGGGTCCCCACCCAATAAACTATACCAGCTGTGGAGCTGGTTATAGGGCTCTGCTCAGGAAGGAAAGCAAATTCACAGTCCTGCCCAACAGCTGGGTGTAGCCTCCATTCTTATTAAACCAGGAAGTCTAGCAAGTGAACCCAGGTAGCCATAGGGCCCATCCGGTGGTCTCACCAGGAAAGGCATCCAAGACCAAGTCTTTCTCAACTGTTAAGAATAGCCTGTGGCCTCTACGTAACCAGGGACCCTGAACCGTGACCCTAAGCAGCCTCAGAGCCCAGACTACCACACAGCCACAGAGCACAGGCAAACACTACACCCCACAGCAGAGCCCAGCCAATGGCTTTGCCTCAGGCAGGTCCTATCTAGTGACACCACCCAATTATCTGGAGCCCCACACAACAAGGAAGCCCAGACAGCAAACCTGCCCAACCACAGCCTCTAATCCCATCCAACTGTGGGACACACTTGGTGGCCCCTCTCAACCAGAGACCCAGCCAGCCAACTTGCTCAACAGTATAGAAGTCATCAGACTACTTGATCATGGGGTCCAGCCTGCAGACCCACTCAAATTTGGGCACAGCCTACAGCCCTGCTTGATCATAGAGTATAGTCTGAGGCCTCATCCAACTGTGAAGGTCTGCCTGAAGCCCACTTGAATACAAAGTCCACCCAACACCACCATCCAGTTGGGGAGCATAGCCTAAGATCCCAACAACCAAGAGCAATTGCAGAACTTAGTATGAAGCTTTGCCAATCACAAAGTCCAATTCATGGCACCACCTTGTCAAGGAAAGGTTTGTGATCTCACCCAACCAGAAGTGATTGCAGAGCCCAGCTAGTGGCCTCACTTGATCACAGAGTAAATCCAGCTGCTTCACCCAATAGGGAGTATACACACCATCCCCACTTATAGGTAGAGCCCAGCCAGAAGAAGCTCTGCCCCAACCTCCAGGAATAATAGTCAGTGGTCTTGTCAACTAGAGATTCCAATAACAGGCCCCACCTGTCCAAGTGTGCTACCAACTGACCCAGCCAGTACCCCAAGCTGAGCTGACTAGGGAAGATCTTTTCTTGCCAAAGTAAACCTATAAATCTGGAAGAGAAGAAATTCAACAAAGAAATAGAAACCATCCAAAGAAACCAAACAGAAATCCTAGAGCCAAAGAATATAATGAGTGAACTAAAGGATTAAATAGAAATTTTCAACAGAAGACTCAACCATGCAGAAGAAATAATCAAGAAACTGGAAAATAAGCCCAGTCAAATAAGAAAAAAGAATGAAAAAGAGTAAAGAAAGTCTATGGGCTTTGTGGTACACAGCCAAGGAAATAATATATGTGTTGTGGGTATCCAAGAAGGAGAAGAGAAAAGAATAAAAGTTAAAGAAATAATGGCTGAAAACTTCCCAAACTGGAGAGAAATGGACCTCAGATTCATGAGACCCAGAAGACCTCAAATAGGTTAGATCTGAAAAGAGCTTAACTGAAACACATTATAATGAAATTGTTTAGGGTCAAACACAAAGAGAGAATTTTGAAAGCAGCAAGAGAAAAGTGACTCATCACATACAAAGGAGTTGTCATACCACTATTACCAGAAACCTGAATGGAAACTTTGCAGGCCAGGGAGAGTGAAATGATATACTCAAAATAATAAAAGAAAAATATTAGCCAAGAGCACTATACCAAAGAATACTATGCTAACCTAATTCCTAAGCATTTTATTGGTTTTTTTTAATATGAATGGGATTTTTTTCTTCATATAATTTATCATTAGTGTATGGAAATGCCACTAATACTTGTGGGTTGACTACTGAATTCCTTGATTCATTCCAAAATTCTTTGGTTGAGCTTTAGGATTTCCTATATATAGGATTATATAATTTGCAGATAACAACTTTACTTCTTCCTTTCCAATTTGAATTCCATTTATTTCTTTATCTTGCCTGATTTCTCTATCTAAGATTTCTTGTATTATGTTGAATGAGTGTTGAGAGTAGGTAAATTTGCCTTATTCCTGACCTTAGAAGAGTTTGTTTTCAATCCTTCACTGTTGACTACGATATTAGCTGTGGGTGTTTCACATATGACCTTTATGATGTGGAGGTATATTCCTTATATTAAAAAAAAAACAATTTGTTGGTTGTTTTTTTTTATCATGAAAGGGTGTTGAATTTTGTCAAACATTTTGTCCACATCTATTAAGGATGTCATAATTTTTATCATTTGTTTTATTAACATAGTATATCATATTTAATGTTTTGTTTATGTTGAACCATTCTAGCATCCCACTTGATCATGGAATATAATCCTTTGATGTGTTGTTGAGTTTGGTTTGCTACCCTTTTGCTGAGAATTTTTACATCTATATTCATGAAGGATATTAGTCTACTGTTTTCTTGCAGTGTCCTTATTTGGCTTTGATATCAGGGTACTGCTGGTGTCCTAAAA